GGATGTGGCAGATCTATGAGTCTCTTGTAACAATATTACGTCTGCTTGCACTCTCTTTAGCTGATCAAAAATCTTTAATCTTTTCTCTATGGAGCCAGCTCCATGTACGTTCCATGAGACAAACCTTAGTGCACCCATAGATGTGTGTGTGAGTAGCTATAATATGATGCCTTCATGTGAATAAGATGGAATAAGTATCTAAATGTATAAAATAGTATGTTAATAAATAACAGAAAAGTAAATAAGAATAATACTAATAATAATAAAGATCCAACAGTGTTTGTGGTTGTATTATTTGACACATAAATTATGATATTGTGCTGTGAATTTAATATATCTATGTGTGTGTGTGTGTGTGTGTGTGTGTGTGTGTGTGTGTAGGCTGGCGCAGTGTTGGAAAGTTGTGTGGTTGTGCCGTACAGGTGTAAAGGTGCAGAAGCAGGTAAAGAGGAAGGGAAAGTACAGATACAGGTTAAAAAAGAAGAAAGAACTAAAAAAAAGGTGGTAGGGGTGTGAAGTGGTGATGAACAGGTGATCTTATCATCTAGAATATGGATTTCGCAGCTGTTTAATCCTGACGTGATCAAACCCAGTGAATCCTGATAAGAATAATAAATGTCTGACCTGATGTTGGGCTAATACAGCCAGTCAGTCACTCCTCGCTCCTTGTAAAGTTTATTGTCCACATAAAGCTTATCCACCGAGATGACAGCTCTCTTCCCATCCTGGATAAACTTTTTGCGCAGCGGAAAGAGGACTCAGCGCCGATCCAGACTTTCCTTAGGGAACTGATCATTAACGCTGAAATCTTTCCCTTTGAGCTCTCTTCCGTGACTTTTAACAAGATTCTTCTGCTTATAATGTTCAAATTTAGCCACGATGGGACGAGGTCTTCTGCTGTCCCCTCTTTTAGCTCCAAGGCGATGTACCTGGTGAAAGGTGATGTTTTTTACCGTTTCTTCTGGAATCTTCATTTCTGTCTGGAGAAAGTTCTTTATTGTTTGCTCGCAGTTCTCCGCCCCTCCCGCCTGCTCTGGCAGGCCTGCGAACACCAGATTATCCCTCATGCTACAGGTCTGAAGGTCCAAAACCATCTCCTTCAGAGTTTTGTTGTCCTGGGTGATCCGCGTCATTCCCTCTTCCAGGGAAGAAACGGACTCCCGCAGAGACGCGTTCTCAGCAGCGAGCCGCTCAACCTGCTCCTGACTGAACTTCAGAGGAGTTCTGAGGTTCTGAAACTCCTGGTGTAGAACCTCGAGCAGATGAAGTCGCCCCTCAAATCCCAGAAGCCGTTTATCAATAGAATCTAATAATTCTAATACATCCTTCTGGGGAGATGAGGCCTCAGGCGAGTCCTTAGGATGGCTCCTCTTGATCCCAGGTGTTTCAGCCTCAGCTGCTGATTTCTTCGGACCCATGACGAAAACTTCAAAAACGTCGTCAATATAATTTAACAAACTTTCTAAATTTCCTTCACTTACCTCCAGATTGAGCGAGTTATACTTACCAGATTATTTTTTCGTTGTCAGTAAATAAATTAGGCGAAAATGTGTCTTAATTGTTTGTGGATGTTTGCTAACGAGCTGCCATCAACTTCAAACGCTGCTGTGTCCAGTGATCGGCCGTCAGCACATGCGCATCTCCCCCTCTTTGGACCCAAATAACTGATCCGTAATAAAAAGTGGAAATTCGGTGACACCAGGATTATAGTAACTATTAGGAATAATTTCTGAAAGGAGAACCAAGGGTGTGTGTGTGCTTGTGTGTGTGTGTGTGTGTGTGTGTGTGTGTGTGTGTGTGTGTGTGGCTTGTGTGTCTCAATATGGCAGAAGAAGAAAGGGGGTCTTGAGAGCTAAACGTGAATGTGGGATCGAAATAAACAAGCCATAAAAGAAATGGACTAATCTGAATTCACTAATCGGGCTTAGCACAAAAGTCAGCCAGATGAGATGTTTCACAGATCTGCTTTCCATCTCCGGGGGGGTGGCCAGCAGCTCCAACAGTTGTGGGTTCCTTGCTCATGGCCTTTTTGGATTAAATGTTGTTGGCTCCCTGGTCGGTCAACGTCGGTCGTGGAAAGGGGAAGATGTGGTAATCCTCGATCATGGCTTGACTTTTCGGTTCCTTCTCCTCTGCGGCCTCAAAACGTGGAATTCAGATCGCAGGTCCAAATTGTTCCAAACGGAGCCGAATCATCAAACTGTTTCATATTGCTTTTACTCTTAATGTTAGAACTCGACCGAACACGCAAACTTCCAGTTTCACGTAGGAAGTCAAAACAAAACAAACAGAGTTGCTTCTAAGTTTTACCGTAACTTTTGAGAGCAAATTACTTGACAACTGTAAAGCGCTGTGTTCTGCTGGGCCAAGGTGGAAACAGCCCGCAGGGATTTTGTTCTTCAGGTAGTCTTTACTCTTTTTTTCTCCTGCCACACAAGGTCTGAACCCTGGATTTTAGAACCAGTGTGGGTGTGACTTCATATTTCACTCATTAAGCACTTGATGGCACTGTGGCTCTTTCAAATAACCTAGTCTTACAAACATGGGAGAATCATGCTCACAATTTTAACAAAGTAATTCCAAATAAGGTCTCAAAAAGTATTACTTTAAACAGAAAAGAACTAACTTCAGGTCTTAAGCTTGACTGTATCACTTTTAGCATGGTTTTGAACTGGTGAAACACAATGACAGATGTTTACAGTTTTAGTCCATTGCTTGAACACACTTTGCAAAACTTGGCTCATGGTGCCAAAACTCCACACACAAGGAAGTACGGAAGAACACTGGGAAATAAACCATTCACATCTATGCCAGATACAAACTCTGCCATCAAAACTGAACAATCCTTTGTCAAAACCTCACTTTGATGGCTAAATGATGTCCACTTCCACATGTCAATACACTCTCATATCTGCGGCAACACACTAGTCTACTTTAAATAAAACACTGCAGTCTTTCACTTGTACTGTATTTATTCAGTTACAATTCCAGATGTTTCTCATAATTCCAAAAATAAAATACTGAAATCAACATTACTGCAATTACATTACAGTAGTGAAATTCATATGACAGGAAATTCAGTTACTGTAAAGCAAAAATAAAACAAACTGAACTTCACAAAAGAAGTTACATGTATGGATCCTGCCGTTTGTCGGGGTCGGGCCACAGGACCTCGTCCACATCGCAAGCAATATCTTCTCCAGCTAAACATCGGGGAAAAAATCCCCTTGTGTGTCTAATCCATCCCTGAATTGACCTGATTTCAATATCTCCGCAGGCCTGTTCCATTGCTAGTGAAAGTGGCATTCGGGCGTGGGGTTGGCGGTCATATACTCGCCATCTCCATGCTGAAAAGAACTCCTCTATAGGATTCAAAAATGGGGAGTAAGGGGGCAAGTACGCCACTTCAAATCCTTCATGATGAGTAAACCAGTCTTGGACCAGAGCAGCCCGGTGGAAACTAACATTATCCCACACAACAAACCTGGGCTGCTCTGGTCTATTCTGTATGACGATGTCATGTAGACCATCAAGAAATGTGAGTATTTCCTGTGAATTGTAGGGCCCCAATTTGGCATGATGGTGCAGTAGACCTTGAAGGCTAATGGCAGTACACAATGTAATATTTCCTCCACGTTGCCCAGGGACGTGCACAATTGCCCTTCGGCCAATAAGATTACGCCCCCGTCGTCTGTTTTTCGTCAGAATGAATCCAGCCTCATCGATGTAAATACACTCATGAGGCTGAGCAGCTCCATCCATGGCGAGCATTCTCTGCAAGAAAAAGTACATATTACTGTACTGTACAGTACTGTATGGATGGCATTACTCAAAGTACAAAACTACACTGATACAGAATTGAACCACCTCAACACACAGGGGCCGGTTTAGCTTTCTGAATATACAGTGTCAATGTGGTACTGATCCAATGGTACAGACTCAGCTATTTGACTGCTCCTCTTTTGTATTGTAAATGTAGAGGACTGAAACACTTACCTGTACGTATTCACGTCGAAGTTCCTTCACTCTGGCATTGTTTCTTTGAAATGGAACCCTGTACAGTTGTTTCATTGTAATATGGTGCTTTGTCAAGATGCATCTAATGTGGTAATGCATACTGTATTTATATTGCCAAAACTCTGTCTATCTGCAATTATGTGACTCTGTAGCTGGTGGAGACGGATCGCATTATTTGCCCTGACCATGTCCACTAATGCAAGTTCTTGTTGTTCAGTAAATAGGCGTTGATGTCCACCGCCAGTAGGTCTTCTGATCATTCTGTAGAAAACAATGCAACCAGTATTTGGAATTGTTTTGTTCTATTTTTCAGTACTATACAAACTGTATTTTACTGTATTTACTGTACTTGTATTACAGTACTGTAAAACTTCTCAAGACATGATTATATGTGTCACAACACAAGGAGCCACCCTTCAGTACAGAACTGGTGTAACAGTACATGTACGTTACATATACATGTAAGATGGGACAGTACTGTAAATACTCAAGCTATATTACTGTAGTAGAGGAATTGAAGACATACCTGTTTTCCTGTCTGAATGTCCTTATGATGGATGCGACCGTGAAACGGCTAAGATTGGTGTGGACTCTCTGTCCAGCTTCCCTCATGGTCAGACCATGGTTTATGACATGGTCCACCACAGTTGCCCTAATGTCATCAGAAATTATGGTCCTTGCATGGCCTCTTTGTCCACGTCCTCCTCTTGCTCTGCCTCTAGCTCCGCCACGTAGAATTAAGGCAGTTCTGAATGCGAAAGGGGGTCGATCACCATTTAAGTATGGTGCTCCTAATAATCCTTTAGTTGAGTGTGTATCATCACATTAGGAGCCTTTTTGCTCAAAATGAATAAAATGTAAAAACATGGTAGTTTTTCATTGTTTTCAACACCATTGTTGCTGCAATGATGCTCATTCAGTGTTAACCCTTCGTTTCATCTGTTGGACTTTTTCCTGTTAACATCAAAAACATCACACCACAGTTTTACCAAATGCTTTTTAAGGCCATTGCTGTTTATTCTTTTTTCTACAACAGCAAATTACAGAAGCAGTATTGAAAATAAAAGTTATTTTCTTGTTCTTATATAAAGAAACGAAAAAATAGCACAAAATTTGAATGCCAGTACAAAACAAAGAGCTATTATGACATGTATTTATAGGGAGATGGACATTGCTTTAGAAAAAAATCTGGCGTTTCTTTTCAATAATGAAAACATCTGAATACTTTTACATTTTTAATTATATCAGGGAATCTGAAACTATTTGTAAAAAAAGGAACATAATTTTTCTGTTTGGACTTTCTTCTTTTTTGTTAGCAAATGAATGCTATAAACACATAAACCTCTTAAATATATTTCTCAGTGCAACATTTGTTTGTTTTGAGTCCACACTACAGTATCCTTTTCCGCTAAATGCCGCCGCTACAGTCGGCTGTAGCTGCACCCTCAGGTCGTGAGCAGAGTGGGTCAGGTTGGAAATAAACAAGCTGAGAATGTGTTCACCACGGCACGACATACAAAAGCGCATGGATCTAAAAGACATCACTCTTCTTAAAGTCAAGGTTTTTATTTTATTATTTTTTTAAATGGTTGATTGTGGTGAAGAAAACCACATGTTCTGAAGGCCTGAGGGCCCACAAGTCCTTGTGTTCATTCAGAGTTCTCCCAGAATCCCATCCTTCTTTTGAGTGTTTAACGGTACGATTGTCTCATCCATTCACCCTCAAACATCTGCCTTCATGTATTCACAATCGAGTGACATTTTCACTTTTTTGAGCTAAAAAAGGGAGATAAAAAATCAGACAATCACGTGTTCTTCTCTTCATGTGTCCGTGTTTTCCTCTTCGTAATCCTGGGGGTTTCCTGATGCGGCAAAGCAGGTTCTTTATGAAGGGTGAACATGATGGGATGTGTGTATATGAGAAGCCCCAAGCTAACGAGAACAGGGGCAATCGTCCTTTGGTAAAGCCACAATGGGAGGTTAGGTAACCTGATTCAGGTGATGCCATTCAAGCTCCTGCTGCACCAGTGTCCCATTCTAATGACATCAGCTCTGACATCACAGCAATAAGCCTGCTACATGTGAAAAACCTAAAACTCTTGGTGGCCAAACGGGCCTTAAGCTACACTTTAGCATGTGGAAAAACTGGGGTTCACTTACTGATAGCACCATTCTTCAGTTGGTGGGTGAAAAACTACTTTGATCAAATTCCTAACGAGTCAGACAACAAAGTGCATTCAAGCTGCATTGTCCAGAGAGCACTTCTTCAGTGAACAGTCCACAGTGACGTTGGAGGTGGTGAGCTAGCCTCGCTTAACCAAAGCAAAGCTTGGTGTTTTTGTTCTTTTGGCATGCTCGTCAAGATCAAATGTACTTTGCAACAAACTTTAAATCAGTTAAACTCACAGAAAAGATGCGATAGTTAGGAGAGGCTAAAGGTGAGAAGCATGTTTGTTTTCCATGTGCAGGTTTTGTTCCAGCAACAAATGGCTTGAATGCACACTGAAGTTGCTGCAAAGTTACACTGAAAAGCTTGCTTGCCTGAGCAACATAATCTAAAAGCAACACACTGCACCTTCCACAAAACAGTCAGACGATTGTATTTACACAAACACACACACAAGCCCATGAAAAAAGGGATACTGCAGCTTTTTTCTTCTTTTTTACTTTCTTAAAAAATGGCAATAAAATATATTAAAACTTATTTACAAAGTGTGATTTTTGGACAAAAACAATAAAGTAAAAGCGCTGTGACATAAGGTAATGTGCCCCTGTTTCCTTTCATCAAGTGAAACTAAATATCAACAGAGGAGGTCAAACAAAAAGGACTAAAGGCACTGTCAGAACCATACACGAAGGGAACCCTTACTTTAGGGTGTTGGGGGTCAAAGGGGAAAGGGTTCCTGTTTCAGGACCAGAGGTTTAGGGCACACTCTATATGCCACGTCCTAAAAAATGTACAGTTTAGCCGGATATGGTTCTTTTAGGATTTTGATACATCTCTTTCTTTAAAAAAAACAAACAAACAAACAAACAAACAAACAAACAAACAAAAACAGACTTTATGAAAATGATAAATACTTTTCACAATATTAATAAATTGGTCTCAACACCAGCATCCGATTGTAAAAATCAATGAAAATCAAAATACAAAATTATAGCATCATCTAAATCATCTGTACATAATTTTCCTGTATTTAATTTTGTACACAGTGTCCCCTACTGGTAGGTTCTTTTACTGCAGCTCCTGAGAAAAAGCATGGATCAGTCCAAACCTCTGACTGGCTCCTGAACCTGACCCTCGTCCAGTGAGTTGAGGGTGTTGGCAGTCCCGCTGAGGCTGCCGTCTCGCAGATTTACGAGAGGATATGTCTAAATGACAGTCTTTGTGCGAGCTCTGCCGTAGAAAATAGTCACATCAGGCCCTTCTCACGCCTCTGAGTACGAGCTCTGTACATTGAGTTTGTCTTTTTTTAGCTTGACGCCATCCACTAATTCAAAGTTATAGTTCTCCAGGGCTGATAAGTTCCTTTCTGAAATGCCCCCATGTGAGCAAGCGCAGTACAAAACCACTCCACAGATGGCCCCCAAGAAAACCCCCAGGGCGGACATGGCGATGATCGTGATGAGAATGGGGTCGAGCGTCTTCAACATGTTGCCTGTTCCGCTGATCTGGTTGGTCTCCACAAAGTCGGGATATTCTGTGATTTCTTCAACTGGAGAAGAAACAGAAGCAAGGAGTGAGGATTGAAATGAGTGGAACGGGCAATGAAAAGTTTACTCCAGAAAGGTTGTGACTTACAGATTTCATTGAATCTGTCCTCAGGTAGCATTGGCTCGGTGGGTACATCAGGATCTTTAAACAGAAATGTGAGATTATTTAACACTGCAAGAAAACAAAATGCTCAGGGTCCAACCCAGGTGCTGGAATAAAGAACATTCACCTTCACAGTCTGATATGCTGAGACCATTGAGGACCTTGATGTCATCCACAGCAATGTCTCCCCAGCTTTTCCTCTCAACAAGACCTTCAATCACCACCTAAAAATAAAATTAGTGTGACTTGGTGGCATTTTCTGAGTTGGAACATTAAAAATGCAGCTACAGTCCAATGAAACTTCAGAAGTCAAGCGCGACCTACCTGATAGGGTTTGTTCGTGCGCGGCACAAGGACACGGCCTTCCCTCCAGCGGTTACCCTGGTGCCCACTGACTGTCCACAGCAGGATGTCGACAGGTCCAGTCTCTGTCTGTTTGCGCTGTTTGATATGCAGCGTGCCAATGTGCGAACCAAACATGTGGTACCAAAATGAAACACACAGGTCAGAGTCTGGAGAGCTGACCACTGGGCTCACCAGCCGAGCCACCTCAGTCTCTTGGAGACCAGTTGCTAAAGTGTAGATGAAGTTCCCTGATCCACCTGTTGAATCGATTAGTTGATTAGACAAGTAAACCTCTGGCTTTGCTTATATGACCCAACAGGCCAATGTGCTCACCCATGTGGTCCATGTTGGGTCCAGTGTTGAGAGTGGGGGTGCCGCTGGACTGGATCTGCCACCTGGAACCAGTGTCCTCTGATGTCCAGCTGCAGAAGGAGGGATCATTGGCCCAGCCAAAGTCGCAGGCAAACCACAGAAAAGCTGCAAGTGTGTTGAAGAAAGGTCAAGCTCATGTTGGGACAGTCAAATGTCCTTTTATTACATGACTACATGCAACCATCTGTACTTTACTCCTGTTAATCAGATCGTCACTAGAGGGCAGTAAAGCACTGCAGAAGATAAGTTCTGCTTCCCACTTGTTGGCTTGTCCAGAGCAACAAACTGAACTGTGGAAAGCAGTTTCAGACATAAAAGGGGAACCGACACAGACATCGCATAACCTTTATGTTAATATGTGTTACAGAGTGTGTAAGGGCCTGATAAGGAGGCATGCTGGGAGCATCCTCAAAACCATGACACCGTATAGGAAGAAGGGGTCTGGACACGCTCTCCAGGTTAGAAAGAGCCACCCGTAGCATCCCGCTGAGAGATGAGGATTTTAATGAGAGCAGGGACTTGAGACTTTAAGACAGCTATGATAACTGTGCATGGCCCCTTTCCAACAATGGGTCCCCTGTGGACACAGCGTCGTGTCTGAGAAGCTTCCACTGAGGCCAGCAAACGTGTGAGAGCTTGAGATTCATTGTTTTTAAATTGGATAGAGGATGACTTCCAAGGAACATTTGGGCAGGAGATGTTTAGGATGTTGGCCGTCGTTTAATTCTGGAACATGAAAAGTCTTTAAAGATAAAAAAAACAAGGCTGCTTTCCTAATGGCAAAATATAAGAGCCAATATTCCCTTTATTAACGGGAAGGTTTTAACTAGCTTCTGCAGGCAGTGATTCTATTTGCCCATTAAGCACAAAGGATGGAATTCCCATTTGAAACCACATTACAGACTCCAAGCCACATTCACGTACAAATTCCACTCCCAATTAAATTGACTTTTTTTTTTTTTTTTTTTTTTTTTTTTTCCATCGTTGAGCTCTGACTGAGACAATCCACAAGCTCTGGATAAGATGAGCAGCCACATGACTCACTTTGCCATTCCATTAAATGAAAAAAATATTTTTCCTGCTGAATACCAATGGAAAATACATTCTAAGAGATTAAGAGTCATGGTAAACTCACAAACCCAGACAGCCACACACAGAGCTTATGCGTGGTATCATACTCCTAAAACCAAACTATTTTACCCGGAGATATACGATTATATGCATTAGATGTCATCCATTACCCTAGCTGCTGCCCCAGCCGGCTGTAGCCAGACCAGATAGCCAGCTGATAGTGACTGGGATGAGGGTGGAGCTTATGGCCCATTAACCAAGGTCAGACTGGGGCACAGTCTCTCAGCTGGCTGCTGCCTCATCAACCTGCTATAGGAGCCCTGCCATGAGGGTTTGTCTGTGGATGCAGCCCCAGAGAACACCTCATTTCCTTCGGTCATCTGCATTGTGCTGTTACAGTTTTGCGTATTTTTGTGTGAGCTGGTGTTAGCCCAGTGATTAATGATTATGCTGAGACGGCAGCAGCAGAGCACCAGAGCTAATCATCAGCTAACCTTGCATCACACAACCTCCCTCACCCTGTCAGCAGGAGCCTCTCAGGGCCACATCATCAGCTTTAATAACAGACACACAGAGGGGAGAGAGAGACGTGCTAGCTAGCATTTGCTTTACCATTGCATAAATACATCATCACACAATATGTTATTACCCTGGTTTGAATGATTTAAAGAAGTAGTTGGGTAATTTTGAAGTGAGTTTTAGTGTAAGTTAATTATTATAAATCACATTCCTAAAAGAGCTCTAACAGAATTACGCTGTTAACATTCAAGGACCAGGGTTACCAACTATCCCTAAGAAAAGTATTGATCTTTATTTGGCTCAAAGATGTGTTCCTTATTAAACAATAATGCATATATTTGTTATCGCACCCCAAATCAATTAATATATGATGAATGAAACTGTTTTATTCAAAATTAAATAATTTTTCATTCATTGGTCTTACATCATCAATTCTGTGACTTTCAACCAATGAGATGCAATGTTCATTTAATTTCTATGGCAATGTTTTTTTTTTATGTCAGCATTGGGGATTTTACTGAACTGTCCATAATCTCCATTATGGCCTCCAGGCTAGCTAGCTCACCCCATTAATCCAAAATCTGAAGATAATTTCTCAAATAAAACTCCAGGGAGATACAGGGAGATTGTTGTGAATGTTATAAACAAATCCTTCCCTTTAATATTCACATTACACCTTATGCACTTGTATGATGCATTTTTGTGCTTCTGGTGGTGTAAAAATGTATAAAACAGTATTTGCATGAACACCCATGACCTTTGGAGAGTAGAATTGTTAGCTTTAGAATTGGTGTTTGGAATAATGGTGAGATTTCTTCAGATTGAAGCCATTCAGGATGAACATAGTAAAAAAAAAAAAGACATTTTACTGAAATCCATCCCATTTCCTTTCTACAAAGATAAACGTAAACAAAGGTGTTCTCACCTGGGATGGTGTCTGCTTCAGAGGGGGTGGTCTCTGTCGTCATGGCACCACCTGTCACAACATGGTACTTTATTATAGCTAGCCTTGCCTGCACGCAGCAAAATTAATGTGCAAACCACCTAACCGAGCTCATGCACTAACCATGCTAGGTAACGATGACTTATTAACACATGCCAATTTAAATCTATTCTCATCCATGTCGTCCTTTGGTATTTCTGAAAGCAACTACCCATCTAAGGCTTTAAAACATAACAGAGACAGTGCCGTCATTGGAGACTGCTTGTTAATGGGGAGTGCAAGCAGCAATGCAGGGAGTTGTTGGGAAAGTTGGAGGGGCTGAAAGAGGTAATGCATGAGAGTGGCAGATGTGTTTGTTTGTGTGTGTGTGTGTGTGTGTGTGTGTGTGTGTGTGTGTGTGTGTGTGTGTGTGTCATGTACTACTGCTAGTGCAACAGTTGTTTGTCTCTTGCGAGTTTTACCAAGTGGAGACAGGAACACTGAAAATAAAGTTGGAAAAACTACAGGTGCAGCTAATGAGATCTGATTAAAGCCAATACACTCCCGAGTACGCAGGCGTACTCCCGAGTGTGCATGAATACTTAGGAGTGCACATGAACACTCAGGAATGAACATGATACTCAGGAGTGTGCACAAACACTCAGGAGTGTGCACGAACACTCAGGAGTGCACATGGATGCTCAGGAGTGAACATGATACTCAGGAGTGTGCACGAACACTCAGGAGTGCACATGGATGCTCAGGAGTGAACATGATACTCAGGAGTGTGCACGAACACTCAGGAGTGTGCACAAACACTCAGGAGTGCACATGGATGCTCAGGAGTGAACATGATACTCAGGAGTGTGCACGAACACTCAGGAGTGCACATGGATGCTCAGGAGTGTGCAAAGCTAGTTATCAGATTAGCTGCAGTGAAAGTAAGTGTTGGAATTTATCAGAAGGGAGGGGAACGGAGCGTGAGCAGGAGGCAGGAGAGTAACGAGAGGGGATGTTTGGTTGCAGTCTCATGAAGGCGATGTTAGCACCTGTCATATCGTAGTCATCACCTGTGCCGCTGTGGCAGCTCGCCTGGTCGTCGTCACACTCGTCTGAGGGAGTGGTGCTTGTAACCAGAGTGGTTGGAGGCAGTGTTGGAGCTGAAACACGAATCAGAAAGACAATGTAGGTTAGATCTCTGTGGAAATCTGACATGTGGTGCATCATTAGCTGTAGCATAGCAACACATTTCTGATGTTAGAGCCTCAGATTTACTGCAGGGTGCTCCAAATACACAGAAACATTTAAAAAACATTAGAGTGGAGAAACATCATTAAACATTGAGGTTTGAGACACAAATTGCTCACATGAAGTGTTTGAGTTTTAATTCTGCGTTGTAGCTAAACAAAATCTAAAATTAACCCACAACAAGTAAATAAAGAAGTATGTAAGACCGAAGCAAAGCAGCCCACTACTGCACACTTCAGAGCAGCTCGAGCTGTTAGCCTCCCTCCTTGCATCAAGCTGTGGAAGTGTGGGTGTATAAATACAACCTTGAAGCTGGTACATGCTGCTTGGGGCTTGAGCAGTTCAAACTACAAGATGCTGAATAAAAAGTCTTTGGACCAGCTATATGCAGGGCCACAGCGGCCTATCATTACGGCCTGGCTTCTCTTGGATGTGGGCAAGGCCCACGGACCACTCTGCGCTCCGCTACCACACAGCCGCTCTGCGGTGTGTGTGTGCCTTTGTGAGTGTTTACACTGACTGAGTAATGATCAGGCTTCCCCAGAGCAGACGGAGGAAAAAACGACGAGGAGAGAGGTGGAGCAGAAGAGGCAGAGACAGATTGGGGCAAGCTGCCTGAAAATGTGTATAGTGTGTGTGTGTGTGTGTGTGTGTGTGTGTTTCTGTGTGTGTGTGTAAGAGCTGATCCTCCTACTCCCACCCTCTGTTAGATGAAATATGAGGCCGATCAACCCTTGTCAGATTCAGGGTGGTAGAGGTCAGGGATAGGGTCAGTGCTGTGCCGAGGGAATGTCTCACAGAAATGAGGATTTAGCCCTCCTGCTAGGCCTTCCTACACATTCACACACACACACACACACACTGGTCCACACAGACAAGCACCTGTGTATGTGTGTGACTGTATATGCTACTCTGTACCCACAAGTTTGGCAAGGTGACTGCGGTTGCGCTGAGTGCATCCGTCTTGGTGAGCATGAGTGTTTTGGGCATTAACACTGAAAACGAGCATTATCTGACATATCTGTCTAAAGCTCCCAGTGGGAATCCATAAGGCTCACAGAAGTACGGGCCTTCCTGAAATTCAATATTTAAATCCACTTAGGGCGAACATGCTCCAGGTTCTGCTATTGCTGAGCTGTTTCTGTGCAAAAGTCTTGAGCTACTCCCCTTCTGTCAAAGAAAACAGTGCTGCCTTTTTTAGAAATCAATGGCATGAAGTTAATTTGCAAATATTTTTGCAAAATTGATCAAAATCGCCTACCTGCATTATGATTGGCATCACCCAAATAAATAATAAAAAAATGCATTTTTTTGAAAATCTTTAAAAGCTGTTATCTTTTATTGCAAAGAAACTGTTTAGGAGGTCTTAAGTAACGGTTGTGAGACTAGTGTTTATATGCATGTGTGTGTTTATCTGTAGTGCTATCTAAATAGCGTGTAGCACACATAACAGGGTGTATGTAGTCCTTTGAAAAACAAATGACAAGCTGGACTGTGATGAGAACGATGGAGGCCAGGTGGACTTTTATCTGATCCCCTCCAGAAGTGGTGAGCTATGACGGCAGCTTTGATGCAACAGCGAGACAAGACAGCCGTCCCTTGTAAGGAGCTGGAAAGCTGTGTTCTGAACACAGAGAGCCTTCATGCTCATCATTAAATAACCAGGGTTGGGGTGAAGACATGATGTGAACGTCACTTTTAGTCATGCCTTTACTCAGGATGACACATGTCTCACCTGTGTGAGTCAGGACCACGTACAAAGTCTGTGGCTGGTAGAATTCCTGCCTAGTTGTACCTTCTGAGGTCAGTGTCACGGGTAGACGGTAATCAGGTTTGGTACGTGAGCAAAATATGCACATCTGGATGAAAAGGTTTGCTACCACTGTTCTGAGACAAATCAGCTTTACCAAAGGGTAACGAAGGACACAACGATGTGTTTGGGGATCTACAGATTGTTCTTATTTACCGTCAATCTCGCAGCCCAGGAGCTCAAGTCGCAAACCCATCCCAGCAGGAGTGGCTCTCTCTGGATAAATTCTGACGAAACGGGTCAGCAGGGGCTCCACTGTCCTCAGCTCAGGAGTGTCGTAATTGCTGTTACCTTCAAATACCTGGCAGGGTAAAAGGACATGAGGCTCTCAACATGAGATATTCTTTAGAAAGACCTGCTGACACTCTCTAAAACACATATTTCTGCATTCTGAACATCATATGTAACATTTAAAGGTGAAAAAAAAAGGGAAAATGGTGGATGAGCAAAGTTCAGCAGAACTTTCTGGCCTCACTACAATCTAAACCACAGTAAAGATGGAGGACACTGAGCGGGTGAAAGCAGCATGACTCAGACCACCGTCACAGACAACTTAGGCTCCTTCAACTTGGATCCTCTGGAAAAAGGAAGAGTAAATGAGGACAAAGTAGGACAGAAATAAGGAAAGAGAAAGATGGAGGATTGATGGGGGTGGATTAATGGGTTTGATCATGGGAAAGAGCCCGGTGAGCTTTGGGTGTTGGGAAACTCTCCTGTGAGGGGAGAAGGGGAGCTAACTACGACAGGCGGAATATGGATCCTCCTCACTCCCTTCATAAATCAGCCATCAGCTCATCTGGATCAGATTTATGTCCTGTCAGGGACACTTGTAATTGGGGACAGGGTGCTGCAGCTCCTCCTGGAGAAGTGTGGCTACAGAGAGCAGCATGCCGTCTTTCTGTATATGTACGTTAAAGCATGGTGGTAAGAGGTGCAGACAGCGTCTTTGATGTAGACAGGGAAACTTCCTGTGTTTCCTCTTCAAACATGTCTCCTTGTTCTTTAAAAGAGCTACGTTGTGCAGGACACAAAGCAGGAAGACAGATCAAGGGGGAGAGCGTTTGGAAATTTACTCCTGTTTCGTTCAAAGCAGCGCAGTAATAGAGCAGTCTCTATTACTCACAACTGTCGGGCAAGATGCTTTGGTGAAAACTGACTAAAGGCCCCATAATGAGAATGGATGTTCGGACGTGTCTGAGAGATCTTTAGAAGTTTAATTTGTGTGAAAAACCAAGCCATCAATTCAAATTCTTTCCCCGTGTGCACACAAAGGAATGATCAAGGGTCCTTTTAGTAGCTTAATCCTTGGACAGAAGGCAAATGCACATTCTTTCTTGGCTCTTGAATGTATCCTAACTCTAATGTGAAATAGTGTTCATTTGGAATTAGCCAGTGGGGATTGGGAGGGATACAATTGTACATACTAACTGTGTGTGTGTTTTGTAGAAGATTTGGTCCACAAATCATTACAGACATGTTATTTCTTATTACAACTCATTATTATGTCTTTGGGTAATTCCTCTAAGTTTCTGCTGTATGTGTTTACCTACAGAAAACAACTTACCTTTGGCTTGTTTGTGTTGGTATCATACACCATCTTCCAGTCAGAACCATTGTTGCTGTAGCCGAATCTGAACTTCTTCATGAAGACTTTGTTCTCACGGTGCTTCCCTCCCTGGATGATCAAACCTTTAACCAGCTTCTCTTCACCAAAATCCACCTGCAGCCATTCATTTGTGAAGGGTTGAGGCTGGGGCAGCAGGGTCCACCCTGTTCGGCTGGTCAACAGCCGGGCGTTCTCCGGTACCCAGTTCCGGTCTGAATGGGAGGATGCAGTGATCTGGTTGTCGGAGATCAAGCCTGACACCATACCCAGCATGCCTGAGCATGGATACTCTAAGACACAAAAATATACAGGAATGTTTGCTTTTATCGTTTTGATGCAAAATAATTCTCTGCAGAGATAGAACTTAATCTTGATGTGCATATGGACCAGTGTACCAACAGTTCAAATTGATGAGTCTGAGTTTTAGAGCAGAACAGGACTAGACAAAAGTCTAAGTAAGGAGGGGTTTTTGCCCAAACTCTTCGTTATTGGACTGTGATATCTCCCTCTTTTCTGTCTGTAGATCTCATGCATACTAAATATTCTGCCTGAAGCGCTTGTCTCCAGGCAGCCAATTAAAACCCACTGCACAGTTGGTGCTTCCACCTCCTGCTTTCTGGGAGCCCTTTTTCCTTTTCATCTTGCTACCCCTCCCTCCATGGACTCACATATACTTACACACAAAGAGGTTCAGTCTCTTTGTGTTTTTATCTGCTGCTGCAGCACTCATCTACCTTCTGCATCACAGCTGTCAACATCTGTGGGAGAACATCTTTGAGCATCTCTTTGCTTCTGGTGCAGTTTTTGATTTTTTCATCCTTCTGCCACTTCTCTGGTTCTTTGTATTTTAACTCTTCAAAAGTTTGAGCATCTTTGCATCCGATTGTTCTAAAAAGCAGAGAGTCGTTGCACTTTTTGCTTTAGCCTGGTAACATGTGGTTATTTGAATCAAATATCCCTTTAAGTGTCTTCTTAAAAGTGAGATATAACCAATGCTTAGAATTCAGAAACATTCTTTCTTTGAACCAATTTACAATCATGAATAACTTGAACATCAAGGACCAGTCGATCTACCCTGCTCTGGATATTTTTGTTTATGAAAATATCCATTCACACAATATACTCCCCCCCCCCCCCCAACCCCCCAAAAACCCCACTGAATTATCCCCACAGCACCACTAGGTGGCGGGGATAATCCACATTAAGGACATATCAAAATACAGAGAAAGAGCATTCTTGGATTGGCTAACATTTTTCCAAATCTTTTTTGTATCATTAACAATTTAATGTTTTTTTTTAATATTCTCTATATACCTTCTTAGTGGCATAGTGGTAGAGTGTCCACCCTCAGACTGGGAGATTATGGTTCCAATCCCAGTCAGGTCATACTGTCATGATCCACCCCAGCCTCCCTGACTGTGTCTGTCCTGCCTTGATTAACCTTATTGTTCTCACCTGTCCCTCGTTACTCTGCCCATGTGTTCCTGATTTCCCTGTGTATTTATACCTCCCTCCTTGTTGCTGTCTTCGTCGGATCATTGTTTGTTCATGTCTCGTTTTGTCCTGTCGCTCCCGTTGCTATTAAATCCATTTTTATTTCATCCGTGCCTGCTCTTCTGCCTCCTGAAACCCTCCACACTTGGTCCGCCATCTCCACCCTCACATCATGACACATACAAAAGACTTTAAAAATGGGACCAATGCCTCCATGCTTGACACTCAGCTTTAAAGGGTTGGATTTGGGGGTTAAACCACTATATAATTCCCGAGCACAGCCACTGCTGCAGCTCACTGCTCTGCAGGGGGATGGGTCGAATGTGAAGATGAATTTCACCAATGTGTGATGACTAATGGGACTTTATTCATAAAACTCCCAATCAGAGTTTATCAATCAATTTCTCAATAAAAATATATATGAGTGATTTCACTTCTATCCATCTGTGGGGATTAAATTTGCGAGTGTTGCTTAAACTTTTCACCAAGTTGAAATCCCCACACACAGAGGGAGACCTGCTCTTATTATCTGTCCCCCACAGAGGGATAAATCCAGGCATTGTTACATGTCATGTGTCCATTAGAGACAAAGTGAACTCTGTATTGCAGCCGTGCTCTGTAACAAGGCTGCATCTGGGAAAAGTGAACAGATTTGCAGAACAAGGCGTCATTCAGACAGCCTTTCTCCTGTTATTTAAAGCAGCTCCATAAAAACCCGTGAGAAATTCCTGATCATACAGCCCAGAGAAGTGCTAATGCTAGCAATGCAGAAGCTGCCTTTATTTGGGGTGGGGTGGGGGTGGGGGGTTCCATCTAACCATCCATTTTCATCCGCTTATCTGGAGTCGGGTCGCGGGGGCAGTAGCCTAAGGTGAGAGGCCCAGACTTCCCTCTCCCCAGCCACTTGGGCCAGCTCCTCCGGGGGAATTCCAGCGCATTCCCTGGCCAGGTGAGAGACATAGTCCCTCCACTGTGTCCTGGGTCTACCTTTAGGTCTCCTCTCGGTTGGACGTGCCCGGAAAACCTCACCAGGGAGGCGTCCATCCTGACCAGATGCCCGAGCCACCTCAACTGGCTCCTCTCGATTTAGAGTAGCAGCGGGTCTACTCCGAGCCCCTCCCGAATAACCGAGCTTCTCACCCTAACTCTAAGGGAGAGCCCAGCCGCTCTTCGGAGAAAACTCATTTCAGCCTCTTGTATCTGCGATCTCGTTCTTTCGGTCACTACCCAAAGCTCATGACCATAGGTGAGGGTAGGAACGTAGATCGACCGGTAAATCGAGAGCTTCGCCTCCTGACTCAGCTCTCTCTTCACCACGACAGAACGGTACAACGCCCGCATCACTGCAGATGCAGCACCAATCTGCCTGTTGATCTCACTCTCCATCTTTCGCTTACTTGTGAACAAGACCCTGAGATACTTAAACTCCACCACTTGGGGCAGGACCTCATGCCTGACCCGGAGAAGGCATTCTACCCTTTTCCGAATCAAGACCATGGTCTTAGATTTAGAGGAGCTGATTCTCATCCCAGCTGCTTCACACTTGGCTGCAAACCGCTCCGGCGAAAGCTGAAGATCATGTTCTGATAAAGCCAACAGGACCACATCATCTGCAAAAAGCAGAGACCTTATCCTCAGGCCACCAAAACAGATGCCCTCCACACCTTGGCTGCACCTAGAAATACTGTCCATAAAAGTTATGAACAGAATCGGTGACAAAGGGCAGCCTTGGCGGAGTCCAACTCTCACTGGGAACGAGCCCGACTTACTGCCAGCAATGCGGACCAAGCTCTGACACCGGTCATACAGGGACCTAACAGCCCGTATCAGAGGGCCTGGTACCCCATACTCCTGGAGTACCCCCCACAGGGCCCCCCGAGGGATGCTGTCAAACACCTTCTCCAAATCCACAAAACATATGTAGACTGGTTGGGCAAATTCACACGCACCCTCCATGATCCCCCTAAGGGTATAGAGCTGGTCCAGTGTTCCAAGGCCAGGATGAAAACCACAGTGCTCCTCCTGAATCTGAGGTTCAACAATCCGACAGACCCTCCTCTCCAGAACCCCTGAACAGACCTTACCAGGAAGGCTCAGGAGTGTGATCCCCCTGTAGTTGGAACACACCCTGCGGTCCCCCTTTTTCAATAAGGGGACCAACACCCAGTCTGCCAGTCCAGTGGGACTGCCCCCGATGTCCACGCGATATTGCAGAGCCGCGTCAGCCAACACAGCCCCACAACATCCAGAGCCTTAAGGAACTCCGGGCGGATCTCATCCACCCCTGGAGCCTTGCCACAGAGGAGCTTTTTAACCACCTCAGTGACCTCAGCACCAGAGATTTGAGAGGCCAACCCAAAGTCCCCACACTCTGCTTCCTCACTGGAAGACGTGTCGGTGGGATTGAGGAGGTCTTCGAAGTATTCTGCCCACCGATCCACAACGTCCTGAGTAGAGGTCAGCAGCACACCGTCCCCACTATAGATAGTGTTGGTAGCACACTGCTTTCCCCCCTGAGGCGCCGAATGGTGGACCAGAATCTCCTCGAAGCCGTACAAAAGTCTTACTCCGTGGTCTCACCGAACTCCTCCCATGCCCGGGTTCTTGCCTTGGCAACCACCTGAGCCGCTTCCCACTTGGATGGCCGGTATCCGTCAGCTGCCTCTGGAGTCCCACAGGCTAAAGAGACCTGATAGGACTCTTTCTTCAGCTTGATAGCATCCCTAACTGCCGGTGTCCACCAGCAGGTTCGGGGGTTGCCACCACGACAGGCACAGATGATCCTGCGACCACAGCTCCGGTTGGCCGCCTAAAACAAAGGAGGCATGGAACAGGGTCCATTCAGACTTAATGTCCCCCGCCTCCCCCGGAACATTTTGGAAGTTCTGTCGGAGGTGGGAATTGAAGCTCCTTCTGACAGGAGATTCTGCCAGACGTTCCCAGCAGACCCTCACGATACGTTTGGGCCTTCCTGGTCTGACCGGCATCCTCCCCCACCATCTGAGCCAATTCACCACCAGGTAGTGGTCAGTTGACAGCTCCGCCCCTCTCTTCACCCGAGTGTCCAAGACATGTGTCCCCAGGTCAGGTGAAACAACAACAAAGTCGATCATCAAGCTGCGGCCTAAGGTATCCTGGTGCCAAGAGCACATATGGACACCTTTATGTCTGAACATGGTGTTCATTATGGACAATGCATGACTGGCACAGAAGTCCAATAACAAAACACCACTCGAATTCAGATGGGGGGGGGTTACCACTTTTTTTTGTCTTTGGCCAAAATCTGTTTGATCAGTGGTACTAGCCTTTGGCAGAGCAGAGCTAAGGCACTGCACTCTGAGCTCCTTTGAAGATGGAGGATATAAGAGAAAAGGTACGTGTGTGAATAGAAGCATGTGTGTGTGAGGGAGATAAAAGAGCTTGATGTGACTTCAGACACTCGAGTGAACTCCCTAGATCATCTGGAGCTTTTAATCGACTTCAGCTGTGATCAGAGAAGCTGGAGGGATGCGTGCGATCACACGCCCACTTGTGTTTATGTTTGTGGACGATCGGAGCGGAGATGGTGCAGGGCGGCGCGGCCCACATTCTGGGTTTGGGTGGAGCATCAGCACTTCATCATAGAAATTTTTACTCTATGTGGCATATTTACCAACAGCGGGGTGGTGGATCTGTTTAATAATGAGTAGCTGTTTGTGGCAGCAGGACACGCGACTGGAATAATTTATGGAGAAACATTTAATTACGTTTAGCCCAGTTCTCTCTCTCTCTCTCCCTCTCTCTCTTATGTGATGCCTCCTCAAAATGCTAAGAAAGATCTCCATCTCTAGTTTTATTCACCTTCTGTGTTGCTAAGCTACAGTTTGTCAGCACTTTACAGGTAGAGGAGAGATGCAAAGTTCTGGTGTCAGGGTCAGAGTAGAGAAGCAAGTCACAGAGTTTACTCTCAACAGCTTCTTTCTCTCTCTCTCTGACAGAGCTGGTTGTGGAGCTGGCAGAGTTCAGGGATGCTGACGTCATTACAGAGACCGTGCGGTGACTAAGACCCTGTGATGTGTTAGCGCTCTTTGTGGCTTTCTGATTACGCACCCTAAACCCAGTCAGAACATATGGTTTACTATAAATAGTCCTAACATCTGAATTAAATACTAATCTTAGTTTTAAGTTGATAGTAAGGGCAAATAGTCCAATCTAGAACATGTGTTTGTTAACCACTGAGATGAAGACAGATGTAATGAAACCACACAAAAGTACACAACGCTTAAAAACATCCACAAATGGGAGAAGATGAGAAGATTGTTGCAAAAGGCACAACGGTGTTGGGATCAGATCAACCAGAGGGATGGAAAGATACACCCCCACCCTCACCCGCAGCTCCCACTCTCGTACCTGCCAGCTGTTAACTTCATTCATGTTGAATGGGATACATTTAAACATAGGATATCATCAGGTAAACCTTATTGGTTTACTATTATTATGCAGAAGGTGGTTCTGGTGTTTGAATTGGAGCTCATGTGGAAACAACTAAAACTAAAGCCAAAGAGCTGAACTGAGATGAACAAAGGATAATGCACAATAATGCATTTTACAAAGAGTATTTTGTGTTTTTCTCTCAGTTGCAGCTGTGATCACTAACAGAGTTTACGTTCAGGATTTTGAGAACCAACCTGATATCTTGCAGCCGTAGACTTCGAAGCGCAGTGCGATGCCTGTTTCCCAGGTGACTGGACGGACCCGGATGAAGCGGGTCATAGTGGGTTTGGGCAGTTTTGTCTTGGTAATCTCAGTTGGATTGGTGTTGCCTTGGAAAACCTTTAAAAGAGACATTAGAGATAAGTGAACAGCCTGAGTTGGGCTGAAAGCTTAACATATAATTTTAAAATGAGAAACAAAATTAATCCAGGGACTGCCCCCATCCGTTTTCCTCAGCCACACACTGCAGACTTGTGACAGGTTGTGAAACCTGACACTGGTTGTGTAACACTGACATGAACGAATTGGCTCAAGATGTTTTATTTTCTATCCCTTGCTTCCAAATCGGGTGCACTGCGGCGCCTTGTTGAAAGGTCGATGTGTCAGCGCCCTCCCCTGGGGTCAGATGACAGTTTACTGGGGGTGCCATATGAAGAAGGTGACCACCCAGCCAAACAACTCTTCACTCTCATCACAGTCCCCTTTGAGTAATCGAATCTCAAAGGTAACCACATGGTCCCCTGACCTCCCTGACTGAGCAGCTACAGGGTAGAGAGGAATCCTGCTGAAAGGGGTAAAGGAGTAGGATGCACTGAATCACAGAAGGCATTTGGCTAACCTAGGACGAACTAAAACACCACCATCAGGTCATCCTGCCTGCACTACACTTTGCCACCAATTCCTTGAGTAATCCCTATCAGCCACATCACTAACAGAGACCCTGCTACAAAGTCATCCACTTTCTTAAATGCCACACAGGGTCTCCTCTCCACTCGCTAACTGTAAAGTGGCTTTTTCCAGCGCTCTGCTAAGATGCCAAACTGCAGCCTCAGTATGTTGCAAATGGCTCCCTTCCACACAAAATCACTTAAGAAGCTGGAAAAACACAGGGCAGGCTTACGGCGGCACCTTTCAGCTGCTACTTTACAAAAAGGAACGGTTGTACTCTGCAGGGACTATAAAAGAATCAGGCTTGAGGGTGCACGCATGCATGTGTGTGTGTGTGTGTGTGGGTGTGTGTGTGCATGCATACAACCGATTTAACTCTTGCTTTGCCAAAAACACCTTACTGTAATTTGCATATGTCACACAAACCTTTTTCCTCGCCAAAGATCAGGGCTCTTCACTTGTCCAGAAGGACGAAAGCTCAATGCTCACAGCCTGTGGTCCTTTGATTAAACTCTCAATTCCCCCTCTCCATCTTTCTTTGTCCACTTCGTCTGGACCAAACGTTACCAGCTGCTCAAACATGACAGTCTCTGCTGTTTCCATCAGTCATCTTTTGCCCTTGCAGTTTATTGTCATCACTGCTTCTTTACGACAAGCTCAACAAAAGCTGACATAAAACAGAGGCAGCCCTCTCACACAGTCATCCCAGTAGATGCTTCAGTGGTGCATTAGTGCACCAGTTACATAACGTTTTCTCACACAGGCAGTGAGTGATGTCTGTCATCACACAAGTCAAAGTGTATAACTGCATAAAAACACAGTCGCTCGATTGGTTGAGCTCAGATTCCAGCTAATCAGAAAAACTGTCACTTTTAACCCTTTATTCACTAAAAACTGTTTTTTACTCTTTTGCATTTTCATTCATTTGAGGCAGAGACATTTAAATTGTATGTATTGTAATATTAATGTAATAATTCTGTGTGAATTTGTATTAATCAAATCAAATCCAAACAATTTCATATGTTTTTAAATTATTTTTCCAAATTATTTACTTATTTTTTTGAATGGCAGAAAAATAGTTTACGTCCCACAGGTTTGATAAGCTAATGGCAAATTTAAGCCCAGTCAAGGTCAAAATGTGTTTTTATTATCTTAAAACAGCATTTCATGCACTTGAAAAAGCTTTAAAAACATCTTTATACCACTATAAATTTTGCATACATGATTAATTTAGTGAAACTAATAGAAAATCACTCACAAACCTGACCCCTGGGTGCATCAAAGTTCAGCCAAAAATACACTTTCCTAACTCACCAACTCTCCAACAAGTAATTATAATGAGAAGGTGCTAATTTGTATTGTTTTGGGCATTCATTTTTAAACATGAGAATCCCATCTTTGGTATGTTCTTGCTGTGTTGCTTTTCTAACCGCATTGTTGTTTCTTTTTTAAAACACAGAAAAGGTTTCTCTTTACCTTGCTGACAGTTTCATTCGCAGCTGCAAAGTAGGAAGTGACGCCACCATCAGTGTCAGCTCTGAGGATGTTTGCAGCCACGAACGAAACTGTCAGCAAGGTAAAGAGAAACCTTTTATGTACTTTAAAAAAGAACCAACAATGCAGTTATGAGAATCCCATAAATAGAAGTACCTTCTGTTTGGAGCCTTCCTTCAGAGTGATCCAGTCCTCTCCGTTTGAGCTGACATCTACTTTGTAGGACTTGACAAAGTAAATCTTGCGGGTCTCCTGGGATATGGCACCCTGGGTACCGATGGCTGAGACGAACCGCAGGAAACCAAGGTCCACCTTCGGGAAGTACAAAGATAAAAAGAGTTAGACAATTCTGTTTAAAGATACCCTGCGGGAATCCCACAGCAGCCAGAGCATAAACAACTTCTCCTGCAGTATTTAGACAGGAGCTAATGACCAAGGTTTAATTCAAAAAGCCTGGACTGGATGCTTTGCTGTCTGCAAACTACAGGCCCATTTCTAAACTTCCATTCTTGAGTAAGGTACTAGAGAAATGTGTTTACCACCAGCTCTTGGTTTTTATGGATGAGAATGCCATTTTTGAGACTTTCCAGTCTGGCTTCAGAGCTCTACATAGCACTGAGACCGCACTGGTTAGAGTGCTCATTGACATTTATCTAGCTACTGATAATGGTAATTTTGTGTTGTTACTTCTGCTGGACCTCACGGCTGCCTTTGATACGATAGATCATGAAGTGCTGCTTCATCGTCTACAACATTATGTTGGGATTTCAGGGTTAGCCCTGGAGTGGTTTAAATCATACCTGACAAATAGAAAGATGTGTGTAAGGATGGGAAGTTATTCCTCAGAGTACTCTAATTTACCCTGGGGGGCACCACAGGGCTCGATATTTGGACCTATGTTGTTTTCTATTTACATTCTGCCCTTAGGTGATATCTGTCGTAATCTTGGAGTTTACTTTCACCTTTATGCTGACGATTGTCAGCTGTACCTGCCTCTGAACACGTCAGAAGGTCTCTACAGTATTTCTAATCTTACGAATTGCTTGACGGAGTTTAAGACCTGGATGAGTGGAAATTTTCTGAGCTTAAATGATCAGAAAACAGAGGCTATATTGTTTGCTCCAAGCAGACATTCTGATGCTTCTTTAATTGACTGTGGGTCATTTAATGGCCAGCTGAGTGCTTCAGTGACTCATCTTGGTGTGAAACTAGATAGTGCCCTTTGTTTTGACACCCAGATTAATGGAGTGATCTTCTCCTCCTTTTTCCACCTTCGTCGGCTGTCAAAGATCAAACCTTTCCTGTCACGACATGATCTTGAGACGGTAGTCCATGCTTTTATTATGGTGCGATTGGACTACTGCAACTCTGTTTTATTCGGTGTGAGCAAGGGCTCAATAGCCAGGTTACAAATGTTGCAGCCAGATTTCTAGAGGGCAGTCGCAAGTATGATCACATTACCCATGTCCTGGCTGCGCTTCATTGGCTGCCTGTTGATGTAAGGATTCGTTTTAAGATACTTTTGCTGGTTTTAAAACGTTAAATGGTTTGTCCCCATGCTTACTTGGTGTCATTGCTGTACGGTCACTCCGCTCGGAGAACCTCATGCTCTTCTCGGTCCCAAGAACGCGCCTAAAGACACGTGGTGATAGGGCCTTTGCTGTGGCAGGTCCTAAGCTTTTGGAATGAGCATAAGCTCATCTGCATAAGGGCCTCCACCTCTGTGGCAGTTTTTAAGGCAAGGATAAAAACATACTTTTGTGATCTGTCTTTTAATCTTTCTTACTAGTTTTTATAGTTTTACTTAAATTGGTCTGTGTATTCACTGTGTTTTTTCTCTGTATCCAATGTTTTTACTTTCTGGACTTTGTTGGTGTGAAATTGTGGAATGAGTTAGATGATGATTTGAAGAAATGTACTTCTTTACTAAAGTTTAAAGCAGGTGTAAAGTGTCACATATTTACAGGGCATGAAAATTATGTATATACATGAATGAATTTTCATTGTGGTTATTTATTTTGGGGAAAATAAAAGAAATGTATATTGGTTATGTATCTTAGGTGGAAAATAGGGTAGGCTAAAATAAGCATTGCTTCTGCCTATTCCTTTTTTGGTTTAAATTCAAGTATTGTTGTTTTGTTTGAAAATAAATTTTTTTTGTTAATGCTATAAACCAAAATAAAGACCAAAAGAAAGAAGAAGAAGACTTAATGTTTTATGTTTTTATTTGGTCTGTGTAGCACCTTGGTGGCATGTTTTTGCCTGTAATGCGCAATTTATAAATAAAGTTGAAGTTGAATTCAGTTAAAAGCAGAGCTATCTGTCGTGTGTCTGGTGCACAACCTGTACAAGTAAAACAAGTAGAAACCTCTGGTCACAGTCTCATCCCCTGCATTTTTAATGTACTGCAATGAAGTTATGATCTCATTAATGAAAAAACACAGGATGACAACTTCATTTCCTAGAATGGGAGACTTATAGGATAAAAATGAACACTGGCTAGAGACGAGTCAGCAATCACATTACAGAAATCAGCCAGGAGGAGAGAGTTGTGCCACCTGAATATTAAATATTATGTTTTTTGTCAAATACAAATCCTTAACAGCTGAACATTTCAAAGGTTGAAGGATTAATTCATGTTTTCATTTGATTTATGTGTGAGTTGCCATCAGAAACAGCTACGTGATTTTTTTATTGAACCTGTCACACACATTACAGGCTCACAGTCACAGCCAGGAAAGAAACAAATGCAAACACACATTTCAGTAATTGACACACACTTCTGTTTTCAGAGGAGAATCCGGTCAGTTAGGCAGTGAACTACCTCAAGGGAGGCTACTTAAACTCACTCCTTTCATCCAAAACAGGAAAAAAAGAGGAGAAACTGGAAAGCCTTAAAAGAATCCCCAACCCTGCAGAGTTAAAGCTACCCATCTAGTTTTAACAAAGTGTTTGCGCCACCTCAGACAAGCCGAGCTGACGGTAATGAGGAGTAATGGTGCTGCGTGCAGACGCCACACCACAACCCAGCTGATGCAGGAAGCCGGGGCGTTGGTGCAGCAGGTTTCCAAGATCCCAATGAAATACAAGGGCTTTGTTGTTGATGTGAGATATGAACGTGCTGTGATGGATGGCGACCAGAGTCTTGAGTAGATTACTGAATCGACTCAAAGGAGATCAACTGGATGTGAACGGGTGTGAAAGGAAGAGCGGCAGCAGGAAAATCTTTTATGTGTGTTTGCAGATGGACTCAGTTGTGTGCACATATTTTAGATAATTAAAAACAGGATTATCTGTCTCCAAGCATCTTAGAGGATGTTAAAACCATACAGTCAAGAGTCGGCTAAAGCTGGGCCTGCCAGGTCTATATAAAGAACCCTACCACACTTAATGATTCAGAGCAAAGGGCAGGAAAGGAACATTTGCCAGCCACAAAATGCTGGTCATTCCTATTCCACAAGTCCTCTTCCAGAACCAAAAGACATAAACAGATGGGGGTGATAAATAAGTTCCACCAAACTGTCGTAAACGATTTGGAAGGATGAAGCCTAAGAAAAAGTCAGTGGCGTACAGAGACGGAATCCTTTTGTTCCTGTCAACAGGCTCAGGGGGCTTTCACTGTTAAGTCCCATATTTCATCAGAATCCAAAAATAGAAACAAAATCAAATCCTGTCAGCCTGAGATGGTTCCCATTTATTACAGCAGCAGCTGATTTCTTCTCTGTGGGGTAAATAGCTGTATGGAATGGCCTGATGGAAAACAGTGGCTGGCTGTGAGATCTGGGTCTTTAATATCTACGGTCATGGTTGTCCTGTTTCCAGTTTAGACTCAGGAAATCAACAATAAAGCAGCTCGCTGTTAAAGTATCTTGATATAAATCTAAATATTTCAGAAGTCCACATCCACATGAGCCGACCGGAAAGGGAGGACACTTAGGCTCCCTATACACAGGCGCCACCGATCCCTCTGGCCACCACCAGCAGGCAAGGTGGATTAAGTGTCTTGCCCATGGACACAACGGCAGCTTTCTCTGATGGAAGCTGGGATCAAACCTGCATGATCTACCTCCTGAGCTACTGCTGTATGGTTACTGGCAACTAGGTAAAATCTTGTAAATCGTGCTAACTGTGATCTAGTCCAAGATCTCTCTTAGTTTCCTAGAATTTGAAGTTTGCACTGGAGATGACTTTCAACCACAATGATACCAAATCACTATGACAAGGTGAACAACCTACCAATCAAACCAAATGCTTGGAACTTTGAGAAACTTTCTGTCTTAAAAGTCCAAAGAAGATCATGGGATGCAACACGGAGATATGATGACAGCGAGAATGCAGAGCAACCACACTGATGAGAGAAGAAAGGGGGACGTTTGTAAGGGGAAGTTAGCCACTGATTGGTGGGTGGGTGGGTGGGTGGGGGGTGGGGGGGTTGCAAGATATGAGAGATGGAAGCATGGGGTTTCCAGTGAAGAAGTCTGCAGACTAGATCCATTTCACAGACAGGGGGGTGATAACAGGGCCTGTGTAATGAGCATAGCATGATTTATTAATGGCTGCTTGTTATAGGCAAAGGAATGAGGGCCGAGGTTGTGCTGACAGAACCAAGTTCTTTGGGTCAGCGAGGAAGATAAGTTGCCATGATGTTTGGATGTGAAACAGAATCGATCACAAACCCAAGAGAACGCAATAAAACAAACAGGCACAGATAATAATTACTTGTAGATAGCACCTAATGACTTACAAACATAAACAAATAATAACCAACCTGGAGAAACAAAGAGCAAATGGGATTGTTGGGTACATATAACACCCTCAGATAAAAACCCATTTGTCTTCTGGAGCTGAAAGGCGGAATCATGTTTAATGGCTGATGTAATCAGCTGGCAGAAAGTGCAAATTATGACTCCTAATCTACCATCGGTGCATGTGGAGACTTTGCTGATCTAACAGAATGAAGCTTCTATCTGTTTCCCATTAAACATATAGCTACTTTCCCAATAAGAATGCCTGGAATCAAGCCCACCCAAAGACAAATGACTCCACGCATTCTGGGCATGCTGGTGCACAGTAACTCTGAAAGGGAGGACCACACAACCTGAGCCATAAACATGGCAGCTAGGGCACGAAATCTGCTCCGATTCCCAGAATCTCTTTCTACAGTGATGGCAGGCAACACTTCAATGTGTCCTGGTCTCTAAGGATTCATTTTCTGGCTCCAACGCAGATCTAAATGTGTTCCGTTATCTTAGCATGGGTGTGTTTGTGGGTGTTCTAGGTATTTGCGATCTCCCTGTTATAAGTGACTCAAA